CCATAGCTCTCCTGGTGTGCCAGATCCCAGGTTTGACAAAGCAAAGCCCAGCTAATCAAATAAGAGCCCTGAGCAGTGTCTGTGTAGTCTGAGAGAGAGAATGGAGTGTGTGTGTGGACGCCAGGGGAGAGAGAGGCTCAGTGTAGGGCCTTCAAGAGGATAAGACAGTTGGTGTGGGTGTATAGAAATACAGGCACACACACACACATACTCTACTGAAAAATAATTTTTGCAAGAGTTTGAAGAACTATTATATAAGCAATAATTTCATTGTCTTCATAATATCCACCATGACAGTCTTCACTATGACAATCTCCACTATGACAATCTCCACCATGATGATCTCCATCATGACAATCTCCACCATGATTGACAATGTATCTCTGTGAAAAGCCAAAATATGTGTCTCAAGAAAGGAGGAGATTTTACCAGTCTGCTACTGCTACACTCTCCAGTCAGTTAAAGCCCATCTACATCAGTTCTCATGATGTACTTGTTTAGTATTATGTTATTCATTCATTTAGAATGTTGGTTGCTTTGGTAGTTTTGGAGTGCACTCCAAAACTACCAAATGAGAGAAAACCTCCCAGGAGATTTCTGTCTCCGGAGTGGAGAAAGAAGAAACTATACAACAGACATAATGCGGGAGGTGGACAGTCTGGGCACAGACTTGTTCTCTGCTCTGATGTTTGGCATGGGGCAGTGTGTGTGTTTGGCATGGGGCAGTGTGTGTTTGGCATGGGGCAGTGTGTGTGGCAGAGGTCCAGGAGGACTGGGTTCCTCTGGTCCCTCTTGTCCCCCTCGTCTGTGCCCAGTTTACCCACCCCAGACATGCTGGCCTCTGGCTGGCCTCCTCTCTAAAGCCTGCAGCCTGTAGTCCCATTGGCTCCCCTGTCTTCTCTCCCCTGAGCAGCCAGTTTAGTCCCATAGTACCCAAAGATCATAGTGACCACAGGGAGCAGAGAGGAATGCCTTTCACTGACATGGGCAGTAGCAGTAGTAGCAATGCCAACACACACCAATACCCTCTGGAAAACAGTCCAGGGGACTCCCTGGAAAACAGAGGCAATTTTTACTGAGTGAACGCCAGTTCTCACACTCCAACAACACACACCACCAACATAAACCAACACTACACATCACTATGGCACATACCAACTCCATCATACACCACTGTCCATTGCACTGCTAACACTGCCCCATCAGTTATGAGGCCTGACTGGACTGATACTTAACACAATTTGATAGACAGAGAGGATCTTCTACAGTGAGCAAGCGCTATAAGCTATTCATGAGATTCATGAAAAGAAAATGGCATGTCTTTGATTCCTATTTCAAGCTCTCTGTTCTGCAGCATATAGCTCACCCCACAACTACATTGAACATTGGTTCAATGGTGGTACCTGATTCCAAATCGACCCCCAGTCCCTAACTCCTAGGCACTTGAGTAGACCTACAAATATTTGATAGGTATATTAATAATATCTTCATAGTTTCACCTGGACCTCTATTATACTATTTTGAGTTTTTTTCACCATATTGCTTCCATCTCATATCCCATAGTTCAGGTGCCTTGAATAGCTAGGGGTCGATTTAGGATTCGTGGTCGTTGTCTTTGATCGAAGAAGAAGTTATAAGACACAGCCCTTGTTAATCATAGTCACATAGACAGAATTGTTAATTGCTTCAGGAAATCTTCTGGGTTTAGCTTAACAATAACATCACTAAACCCCATTCAACACAGGCTGCTGAGAGCTTTTACATGTAAAGTGTTCTGGACAGACAGACACATGGACACACGTAGACTTGTAGACACACACACACACACACACACACACACGCACAAACACAAACATACACTCTGACTACAATTTAGGACACAATGACCTTGTAAGTTCACAGTCTTTCATAATGTCAACCACTGTATCACTGGAACTGTCACGACTTCCGCCGAGGCTGCCTCCCCTCCTTGTTCGGGCAGGTTTCGGCGTTCGTCGTCACTTACTAGCTGCTGCCGATCCATTTATCATCACTCCACTTGTCTTGTCTAATTAATCACACACCCCTGGTTCTTAACCCCAATTAGTCATTGTATAAGTGTTCCCTCTGCTTCTTTGTCTGTGTGGGTGATTGTTTGTTGTGAGCTGTGTGTAGCTTGGTTGAGCTACCCTTACCTTGTTGTTTGCCAGGGTAGATATTTCCCCTGTGCCTGAGTTTTGTTGTCGCATGCTTGCGCAACTGTTTATCGACGGAATAAACACTTTGGATGCGTATTACTCTCCTGCGCCTGACTCCTTCTACCACACGCATCACAGGAACATAGCAAAGCACATGGATGAAAAGAGCAAAGATTGTCAAATGCAACAAATGGAACCTAATTTACATGTCATACATAAACATCAACCTATTAACAAAATCATTGAGGTGTATTTCCTATCTTAGCCACTCCCCTCCACTCCTCGAATTCCCTCCTCCTGTCCAGTATGTGTTAGGGGGGTCTGTATGCACCCCGCTAATCAGGGTTTGTCCATGGGGTGCCAGGGGGGCTATAAAACACACACACACACGGTGCCAGAGGAGCTATAAAGTAGCGTAGCATTAGCCCACTGTGACAGGCTAGTCTTGTTCCTGGTCCTGCAGTCACAGCGTCCGCGTGCTTGCCAGCGCTGGTCTCAGAGCCATGGTGAATAGAGCTGCAGAATCCTGCCTCCATAGAGATAATGTTATCTATTCAACCATGGGGGCCAATATTTAAACCTCAAACACACACACACACACACACACACATTTACAAACACACACACACACACACACACATGCAGGCACACACACGCATGCACACACACACCATCACCACCACCACCATCATCATCATTAGAATAAGCAGGACTCCAGGGAGACTGGAACATAACAACAGGTACAGGCTGGTATATAACTGATATATACCATAGTTATCATCAGCTCTCAGGAAAATTGTAGAATCAAGTAACCTCACAATTCTGTCTCTTTGCACAGTCCCTGCTGTTTCTAGGAATCTGAGTTATTTGGCTGATCCCAAAAGATCTTTACTCCTGACCTCCAACCTCAGAGAAGGAGAACCAATGGGATTGGATAATCCACTTTTTTATCCCCTTTTCTGGCTTTTTCAATTAAAAAGAGATTTGAAGGGAGAAACCATGTTTGTGTGCATGGCACAGACGTAATTCCTTGAAAACTGTTGCTCTTAGTTCAAACCAACCTGGTTTGAGAGAATGTTCTCTGGATAGAGACTTGATCAACATAAATGCTGAGACATTAATCTTTCAAATGAAAGAAGCCAGCAAAATTTGACAACTGGAAATAGAAAATAACCTATATGCAGTTCTTCATGCTCCAACTGCAAGATATTTATTTGTTGTGCATCTGAACTGAAAGAGCAAGGTTTCTTTTCACATTATATTCCATAAACTTTTCACCTGTACATATGCTCCTGTACAACAACCTCTATTCCACCACCTCATAACCTAGCCTAGCACTGACCCTGGCCAGATCACATCGACCTAAGATTCTGGCAGAGACCCAGCAGAGTTATAGGTATTTGTTCAATGTGATGTTGCAATTCTGAGAGACCAGGCTAGTCTGTGCCTGACCAAGAGTGCGATATACTGTATCTTCTCATCTATGAACCAGCTGTTCTTGACCCTTATTGACCAATGGATTGCATCTTTGACTTTCACATGCAATATGGCAAATGAATGAGATAAAACATCTAAATTGACAACATTTATTGCATTGAGGCATGATTGCATTTTGAACAACTTATAAGAGTACAAATAAAAACAACAGAATGACATTAAAGACATTGTATAAAGGTTGATCTGAACTTCACAATTGACTCAAGAAAATCTAACCTTTCTAGAGTACAAGCCTTTTCATTGGTTCATCAGTTTTCCCAAACAACATACCGTTTTAAATGAATCATCTTTTCAAAAACAGTCCATTGTTGTTAAATATACAAAATTATAGTAGTTTGACGTAATCAATCAAATCAGTAATCATTATCACAAAAAGGAAGCCGATCACCCAGTGACAGAATTCAGATTTCCTCAGTATATCCTGAACAGACTGACTCATCAACAGAGTTCAATCAAATGCAAGATTGGCAGAATAATGGAAAACTTGAAAAAAAACATCAGTGCCTACTAAGACTGTGGTATTGCTGTCAAACGATTGTGTGTGCACGCTGAATCTGTGTCATTGCATGTTTTATGGAACAAGGGAAAATAGCATTCTGATGCACAGCAGAACATGATAATTGATATATTTTCTATCCTCAAACATACCTGTTGTCACTCAAAGTGCATATGCTTGGGTATTCTGATTGAGGCATTTCAGTTCATTTCTGTCCCTCTTTCTGCTTTGCCATAGCCTATGACTCAAGACACATGGCCATCTAGACTCTTATCATAGACTCTAATCGATATATATATATTAAATTGATTACTTGAAAAACATATTGAAATCTGACTACGACCCAACACTAAGTACTGCATTTGACTTAATTGACTTCTCTAGCCCGTGATCAAACCAGAAACATAGATATTCATGAAGTCATAAACATACAGCATAGATCTCTCAAAAACATAATGCAAAACCAAACAAGAAAAAAATACATTTGATGTGTATAAGATTTCATGATGCTAATGTAGAAAAATAGTAGTCTGTATGTAGGTCTGCCCCACCAGCCAATAGAGTGCATATTTGTTTGGAGTGTGGGGCACATAGCAGAAGGTAAGACCAATGGTGTTTCATTGTGTTGTGAAACAAATACAACATGTTCCTTCAAACCACAACAACCCAGTCTTTAGCCATAGTCTGAAGGAACTGCATGGACAGGCCATGAATGACCAGTGGTCTCCTGAAACCCCTGTCCCAGAAATTAATGTAAGGAAGCTGTGGCTAGGGCCTGAATCCCTTGGTTAAGGGCTGGCATCAGCATCGGTTCAACAGTGGTTGGTCTGTCACAGGTAGGCCTCAGCCCTCTCCCAGGGTTGTATCTCTGAGAAGAATCCTTCACACAGCCCAAAGCCCTGATCCAGAGTCTGAGGGGTGGCCTGCGCTTCCTCCTTCATCTCCTCCCAGGGGTGCACCTCCTGCTGCTCTGGGAACAGAGTCACCTCCTCAAACTGGTGCAGGTGAGTCTGTAACAACTGATCCTGGTTCAGCTGCTGCTGTTGAACGTAAAGGTCCCCTATGTTACTACTGTTACATCCCACTGAGCCACTCAGCTCCATGTAGCCGTAAGAGTGGTGGGTCTGGTTCGGGGTCTGGGTCTGGTTGTCCCCCTCTCCACACCACCTCCCCAACCCAGCAGAGTGCCTTTCCTGCAGGGTCAGGTCCACCTCGCAGCCCAGGGAGCTCAGAGCAGTGTTGATGTCCAGGTCTTCGAATGTACTGCAGTTTCCACTGAGGACGTCGTCAAACACAGACGCCAGGTCAAAGTCTCCCCTCAGAACTACATCTGCGCTGTGGGCCTCCGTGGCTAACAGCGGAGATTTGGGTGTCCGCGCCATCTTGCTGTTTTGCCTTGGAGAAGGTTGTTTACGCTTGTTGCCGGCTCCAGCTCCTTGGTAGTGGTAGCCATCTTGCCTCCGCTGAGTGGCTCTGTGGTAGCCAGTTTCCTGGTTGTGTAGGAGCTTGCTCTGCCTGTGGGTGTTGTAGTGGTTGGAGGACATTCTCCTTCTCTTGAAGACTCCGTTGACGAACATGTCAGCGTACTGAGGGTCGATCTGCCAGAAGCCTCCTTTCCCTGGTTCATCTTTCTGCCGCGGCACCTTCATGAAGCACTTGTTGAGCGAGAGGTTATGGCGGATAGAGTTCTGTGAGGACGAGCGGAGAAGAAACAAATATGTTAAATCCATGTTGAATGTGTTCTAATTTAATATAATGTATGAATGGTGTGTGTTTGTGTGTGTCAAATAGAGAGAGAGAGAAAGAGAGAGAGAGAAAGGCATTTAAGGGGGAGGAGGTATTGTTGTTGTTTGCGTAGGAAATCAAATGCACCTAATGAGGCTTTCTAGTGTAGAATTCTGTGCATTTTAAACATGATCAGCCGTGCTTGGCTGCCAAGGGAGCTCTCACAGCGATCCTCATTAACACACACACACACACACCCCTCGCTGCACACCCCTCCCTGGAGCAGTAGAGCACTTGTGCCTGACCCCCTGAGAAAGAAGCCTGACAGAGATCTCTTGGAGGGTAGAAATTGCAGACATGTTCAGTGATTAGAAATGTAAATCAAAATGAATATGACTAGGCTAGTCAAGCTGTGTCATACCTAATAGAATACATTATAAGTTACTGTTAGACTGGAAGATTATGATAAATAATAGGATAAATGTGTTTTAAGTGTATTTTCTATAAGTGTATTAATATTCTTACAACAAAACAACAGGTTTAGTATGCATGTGGCAACCCTTCTGCCCCCCCCCCCCCCCCCCCCCCCCCCCCCCCCCCCCCCCCCCCCCCCCCCCCCCTTCTCCCTATCTCGTCTCTCCCTGTCCCATTTAGCTAATCAATAATAGACCAACAGAGGAGAGCCAGGTCATTTACCTGCCAGCTGGGCTCAGCATGTCTGTAGTAGCAGAAGTTGTCTGTGATCCAGTTATAGATGGTGGAAAGAGTCACCTTGGGCTTCTTGCTGGCCTGCATGGCCATACAGATGAGAGAGGCGTAGGAATAAGGCGGTTTGACTTTGGGGTTCGTTTTAAAGTCAATCTCCTCAGGTGGGATGATCTGCGTCGTGATTTGGTGGTTGTGGTGAGGGTAGGTTGTGGTTTGGTGGTGTGGGTAATTCACCAAACGCGCGTCGGTGGAGTTACTGCCAGAGGTAACGGGGCTCCCGAGGCAGAGCGGCATCCCGGTAGCGGCCGTGTCCCCGGCTGGAGGGCTAGACGGGGAGTCGGTGCCCCGGGGGTACAGGCGCTGGTGGTAGGAGAGCAGGTGCTGTGCGGGGCAACCGGAGCCGGTGCCGGTGGGTCTTTCCGAGTTAGTGCTGAGGATGGAGAAGTTCTGAAGCCAGTGGAGACTGGTCAGGCTGTCGTCCAGGTGCACTGACCCGGCTGCGGTGTCCGGGTTCTCCGGCTGTAGTTTCAGCCATTTATCCTTAAACCTGGAGGCGATCTCCGGACTCATCAGGACAGGCATTCAGAGCGTGACGCACAAGACGTCACCCACAAAGATGTAGAAATTTTGTAGGACTGTTCAATTAGATTTCCTGCACAAAACAAATATTAAAAAACATACTAATTCGAATTTGAGCCACTACCCCATTACAGTATTAAAAACACACCATAAAAAATTGACTATTCGTCTCAACATGCCAACGTGTCAAAACATGATCCGAAAATTAAACAAAAATGATCATAATACAGCAGATAGCCTATATCCTTACCTCAATGACAGGTCAGCGATGATGCTCTGGAACAGTTTGCACCTGTTGCAACCCTCTGTCGATCAGTCACTGCGCTCTATTCTAAAAGGACTCCAGCGAAGCACTATCCTCTGCGCAAGAAGTGCAGAGGGGGAGGGCTCACCAAAGTAGGATGCAGCAGTTCATATAGAAATCCATCAGATTATTTCATCCATTTCAGTCGTTTTTGCATAATCCTAATTATTTAATTCCCGGCCAGTTGCTTTACGGAATGATACATGAAAAAGTCTGAGTGCTGGAAGGTTCTTGGATGCTCATAATAAAGGTGGAGAGACTGCACACGAGCACGTTACACGTCTTGGAAGTCTCTGATTGGTTGGTTCCCTTCTCTCCAGGTTTCACTTGGCTTGTCAGACACGGCTGACGTTCATGGGGATATGAGGAGCGCGCTGAACTGCATATTCAACCTCGGAATTAATGTAGCATACGTATAATTATAGCCATGGATTCTTAAATAATATAAATTATACATGCCTCATGAGCTTAGTTCAACTGTAGTAGCCCCTCAGAACCCAAAATGTAAGCTTGTTTTACTCCAATGTTGGTAAACAAAGTAAATGTAAACAATCACTATATAGCCTCAAAACATGGTTAAAACTAATTGTGATATCATGGATGGTCAGTCCTTGCATCCATAGCTCTGTCTATGAATTTGAGAGTGCTTACATTTCTCAGCCACAGCTTTTTACCAAAACAGGGGCGAGGACCACGCTTTCTTGTGATTTAAACTGCTTATTGCCCCTTTAAGGTTAAATTGCGGAATACAAAAATAACCACAAAATCAACTAACAACACGTGGCATCTTGTTTTTCTTTCCTAAAGGCCATTGTTGTCCCGACCCCAAACGTAATCCATGACCTGTTGAGAGCGATATGGCGCCACAGTCCTCCCATGGAGCGATATGGCGCCACAGTCCTCCCATGGAGCGATATGGCGCCACAGTCCTCCCATGGAGCGATATGGCGCCACAGTCCTCCCATGGAGCGATATGGCGCCACAGTCCTCCCATGGAGCGATATGGCGCCACAGTCCTCCCATGGAGCGATATGGCGCCACAGTCCTCCCATGGAGCGATATGGCGCCACAGTCCTCCCATGGAGCGATATGGCGCCCCAGTCCTCCCATGGAGCGATATGGCGCCACAGTCCTCCCATGGAGCGATATGGCGCCACAGTCCTCCCATGGAGCGATATGGCGCCCCAGTCCTCCCATGGAGCGATATGGCGCCACAGTCCTCCCATGGAGCGATATGGCGCCACAGTCCTCCCATGGAGCGATATGGCGCCCCAGTCCTCCCATGGAGCGATATGGCGCCACAGTCCTCCCATGGAGCGATATGGCGCCCCAGTCCTCCCATGGAGCGATATGGCGCCACAGTCCTCCCATGGAGCGATATGACGCCCCAGTCCTCCCATGGAGCGATATGACACCACAGTCCTCCCATGGAGCGATATGACGCCCCAGTCCTCCCATGGAGCGCAGAAAAGTCGCGCCACACGTCCCGCGCTTGTGTTGCACTTTACCCTCAGCATTCCATACTAACCCCTTATTTACAGTAGGCTATCAAATAGCTCCATTCAACTGCAGAGGGAAATATGAGAAGGAATTCCTACACAAGAGCATCATACTATAATAAAGTATAGGAATCTGAATTGTTTTAGTTTAGTTTAATTTACATGTCATGTATATTAGTCTACAACCAACATAATGGTTTTGAAATCAAATACAAAATGACTCAAGTTGTACAAATTAAATCAAATTTGATTTGTCACATGCTTTGTAAAAAAACAGGTAAACTAAAGGGAAATGCTTAGCCTACTTACGGCCCTTCCCAACATTGCAGAGAGAAAGAAAGATAAATAATAGAAAAACAAGGCAACAGTAAACATGTCATCCCCCACTAATGATGCAGCGCCCCCCATTGGGCCAATTGAGATAGTGTGACTAACACCTTTCAGTTATCGTGTGTGACCACAGATTATTACATTTTAGTCATTTAGCAGACGCTCATATCCAGAGCGATTTACAGTTAGTGAGTGCATACATTTTTCATACTGGCCCCCCGTGGGATCGCAAACGCCATGCTCTACCAACTGAGCTACACGGGACTGATTATCCTTGACATTGACCAGATACTCATGTGGCCTCTCTAACAATGAAAGGAAATGTCTTCAAAAATGGAAGGCAGTTAGCCTGGGTACCAGTCTTTTTAGCTAATCCACTCCCTGTACTCCATGTCATGTGCCAAAGAGACTGGCCTTTTTGCCATCTTCAAATATGAACATCTTCATTAATGAACTCGATGAGAACAGAGTATTTGATTAAGTAATAAAGCTAGAGGGGGTGTGGTATATGACCATTATACCACTGCCAAGGGCTGTTCTTATGCACGACGCAATGCGGAGTGCCTGGATACAGCCCTTAGATGTGATATATTGGCTATATACCACAAACCACGAGGTGCCTTATTGCCATTATAAACTGGTTACCAACATAATTAGAGCAGTACAAATAAATGTTTTGTCATACGCATGGTATATGGTCCGATATACCATGGCTGTCAGCCAATCAGCATTCAGGGCTCGAACAATTATAAACTGGGTGGTTCGAGCCCTGAATGCTGATTGACTGAAAGCTGTGGTACAGTTGAAGTCGGAAGTTTACATACGCCTTAGCCAAATACATTGAAACTCAGTTTTTCACAATTCCTGACATTTAATCCTAGAAAAAAATCCCTGTCTTTGGTGAGTTAGGATCACCACTTTATTTTAAGAATGTGAAAAGTCAGATTAATAGTAGAGAGAATTATTTATTTCAGCTTTTATTTCTTTCATCACATTCCCAGTGGGTCAGAAGTTTACATACACTCAATTAGTATTTGTTAGCATTGCCTTTAAATTGTTTCACTTGGGACAAACGTTTCGGGTAGCCTTCCACAAGCTTCCCACAATAAGTTGGGTGAATTTTGGCCCATTCCTCCTGACAGAGCTGGTGTAACTGAGTCAGGTTTGTAGGCCTCCTTGCTCGCGCACGCTTTTTCAGTTCTGCCCACAAATGTTCTATAGGATTGAGGTCAGGGCTTTGTGATGGCCACTCCAATACCTTGACTTTGTTGTCCTTAAGCCATTTTGCCACAACTTTGGAAGTATGCTTGGGGTCATTGTCCATTTGGAAGACCCATTTGCGACCAAGCTTTAACTTCCTGACTGATGTCTTGAGATGTTGCTTCAATATATCCACATAATTTTCCTTCCTCATGATGCCATCTATTTTAAGAAGTGTACCAGTCCTTCCTGCAGCAAAACATCCCCACAGCATGATGCTGCCACCCCCGTACTTCATGGTTGGGATGGTGTTCTTCGGCTTGCAAGCGTTCCCCTTTTCCTCCAAACATAACGATGGTCATTATGGCCAAACAGTTCTATTTTTGTTTCATCAGACAAGAGGACATTTCTCCAAAAAGTACGATCTTTGTCCCCATGTGCAGTTGCAAACTGTAGTCTGTCTTTTTTATGGCGGTTTTGAAGCAGTGGCTTCTTCCTTGCTGAGCGGCCTTTCAGGTTATATATCGATATAGGACTTGTTTTACTGTGGATATAGATACTTTTGTACCTGTTTCCTCCAGCATCTTCACAAGGTCCTTTGCTGTTGTTCTGGGATTGATTTGCACTTTTTGCACCAAAGTACGTTCATCTCTAGGAGACGGAACGCGTCTTCTTCCTGAGCGGTATGACGGCTGCGTGGTCCCATGGTGTTTATACTTGCGTACTATTGTTTGTACAGATGAACGTGGTACCTTCAGGCGTTTGGAAATTGCTCCCAAGGATGAACCAGACTTGTGAAGGTCTACACATTTGTTTTCTGAGGTCTTGGCTGATTTCTTTTGATTTTCCCATGATGTCAAGCAAAGACGCACTGAGTTTGAAGGTAGGCCTTGAATTACATCCACAGGTACACCTCCAATTGAATCAAATTATGTCAATTAGCCAATCAGAAGCTTCTAAAGCCATGACATCATTTTCTGGAATTTTCCAAGCTGTTTAAAGGCACAGTCAACTTGTGTATGTAAACTTCTGACCCACTGGAATTGTGATACAGTGAATTATAAGTGAAATAATCTGTCTGTAAACAATTGTTGGAAAGGTTACTTGTGTCATGCACAAAGTAGATGTCCTAACCAACTTGCCAAAACTATAGTTTGTTAACAAGAAATGTATGGAGTGGTTGAAAAACGAGTTTTAATGACTCCAACCTAAGTGTATGTAAACTTCCGACTTCAACTGTATATCAGACAGTATATGGGTATACATCAAGGACCATTTCCATTTGAATTGGTCTAGTAAAGGTTTGGGGTTGAAGGTAGATATAGGCATAATATCTGTCTTGGACCAATTGACTTTGTAATCAGATAGTTTACCAAACTCTTCAAGCAATGACAGGAGGAATGGAATTGAGTATGAGGGGTCTTGGAGATAGAGCAAGACATCATCCGCATATAATGATATAATATGGTATTATTTTCAATTTTAAATTCCTTTAATTTGGTAATGTGCTCTAATCATGGCGGCAAGGGGTTCTATGACCAAAGCAAAAAGTCCTGCACTGGCCGGACAGCCTTGCCTTGTCCTTCGAGACAACAGGAAGGGGGTTGAGTATTGGGTGTTGGTTTGAACTACTGCCATTGGTGAATTATAAAGAATTTGAATCCATGAGA